TGCCCTTATGGAACTATTGACAAATAATGGAAGGGAGACAGCTTGGTGAATTACATTTTCTTAGACTGGAAGAAGGCATTTGAAAACAGCACTCCACATAAGACTCGGGCAAAAACTTGTGGTGTAGGCAGGAATAATAGGGACATACCTCAGTAAATTTAAAAGAGTACCTCAGAGAAAGGAGGCAAAGAGTGACTGTCCAGGAAGAATGGGGAAATATAAAAAGCAGGTTGATTAAAGGATCAGTATTAAGGCCAGAACTGTTTCTGTTTTTTGTGAAATGATATTCCAGATACAACAGAGTCAGATGCATCCCTGTTTGTTGATGATGTAAAACTGGCATGGACGGGAAAAAGGGACTACAGATGGTTTGGGGACAAACTGCAAGATTGGTTAATGCAAGGTCATTAAGACTGTGGAAAGGGACATAAGACCTAACACTGTGTTTTGTCTCAGGGGACAGAGGTTTCAGATCTCCCTCAAGAGAAAGTTCTAGGGGTGCGAATAATGAGGATAGACTAAGGGCCCTGAATCTGCACTCTCTAGAAAGACGTAGAATTAGGGGGGATTATGATGAGGGTGTATAAATGGAAGACAGGAATAAATAAAGGGGATGTAAATAGTGTGCTGAAATATCTAGCCTAGACAGGACTCGCAGCAATGGTTTTAAGTTGGAAAAATTCAGATTCAGGAAGGATATAGGAAAGTACGGGTTTTGGGTTTAATAGAGTTGGGGGATGAGTGGAACAAACTCCCGAGTACAGTTATAGAGGCCAGAACGTTGTTTTAGCTTTAAAAATAGGTTGGATAAATACATCGAGTGGATGTGGGTGGGTGTGAGTTGGACCTGATAGCTTGTGCTACCAGGTCGGTTGCCGTGTTCCTCCCTTAAGTCAATGTGACCTGCCCTGGCTAGGTTGGGTGCATTGGCTTAAGCGGTAGGAGACTTGGACCTGCTCGCATGGGCCAGTAGGGCCTTCTGCAGTTTTCCCTTCGTTCTTATGTTCTTATGTTCTTATTTCACCAGTGGCACAGGTAAATTGAATAACCTCTGCAACCAATGGTTACCTGGCAAATCTAAGGGTAGTCTTCAGAAATCTCAACAAAGAATGCTTTCAGGCACTTAATACAATATTTAAATGAGGCCCATCTTTGAGTACTCAGCACCAGTATGGAACCCACACCTGAGGAAGCATTTTAAGAAACTGGAGAAAGTGCAAAATTAAGGGGCATCAGCTATGAGAGGATAAAGGAAATGAATCTAATAATATTGGAAAAACAGAAGAATTCATTCGAGATAGGGTGACAACATACAAAATACTCAAGGGAATTGTTGGGGTAAACAGAGACGGGCTTCTGAAAAGTAAAAAACAGAACTTGAGGAACAGTGGAATAAAAAAAACGTTGAGAAAAGGGAAGTCGGGAGTATTCTTTGTTCGGGGTGAAGAAGGGGTGTAAGCAAAATCCAAAACATTGCTTAACCCCTTAACTCCCCAAACGTTGATCTACAGTCTAAACTGCTAGCGCTCCAAATGTAGATCAACGTTTTTTTTTTCCTGCCTCCAAATTTTGGGCCATTGGCCTGAATGCCTGGTCGTACAGAATGGTTTTTAAATCAGTGTGTGTGCGTTTTTTAAAAAATCTGGGACCACTTAATACCTTGTGGAAGCACCATTCAATCGGTGCCAGTAGAGCAAAAATGGGGAAAAAAACACCAGGGATTCACTGATGCCTGTTGTTTTAACTTTTCCCTTTTTTTAAGAGGAAATGATTTTTTTCCCCGAGATGAATGTGGCCACAAGGGTGGGGAAAAAATCAAAAACTCGTAATAACCCATCCCTTTTGATATTCCTCTAAAGGGAGTGAGAGTTTCACAACCTCGGATCCTGGCCATGGGCCAGGCTTGTCGGGTGTTTGCCTGGTCAACCGGGCTGTTGTGCTGGAGACCCATGCCCCACATATCCATCACAGCGGTTGACTGGCACCGGGGTGAAGATATTTGTAGTTTCCTTTAAAGGTTTCACACTTGTTCCAGCCATGATTGATTTTTTGGGTGGGTTTTGAATAGCTGAAAGCCCAGTGTTGATACAATGTTCCCTTATTGCCCCCTGCCCCCTGTCCTTTTGGGTTTTTATTGTACACTTCCCCCCATATTCTCCCCCCGTATTTTATGGCAGTGTGCTTATTTTCCCCGGTAACTTTAAATCATGTATTCTCTCTCCTCCGCCCAGTGAGTACTGTTCAAGATTTGAAGGCATTTCCATAATTTAGGTGCTTTATTGGCTCAATGTGGCTGTAAACGTCTCTGCTTTGTTCCGCTCTATTTTTTCCCCGCTTTGAAGGGTCCCAGCGTAATGAGAAATATTCAAAAATGAGGAGTTAGTGATTTGAAGAATGCCATCGCATTATTTCCCTTTGTTTTAAAAGTTTTTAAATTCACCTCATCATCTTTTTGGGTTATCGTAAACTTTTTTGTTGTGGTCTTTAAAAAAAAAAAAAAGGTTATTTTTTTTTATTATCACACCGGGGGCCCGTTTCCCCCCAGGCAGGGTGGCCCCGAAAAAAAAAAAACTTTCACCATCTTTCACTCCATCACTGTCTTGCCAAAAGGGTGCTTTACACTACATTTTTTTAAACTGAAAACTTAACCCCCCTCCTTCAAGTGCAGGCACTGACTTCCCATCTCCAAACTCAGTCCGGCCTGCCGTTTCCCTAACCCTTCTAAATGTTACTTTGCTCACACTCCAACAGCACTAAGTTTTAAAAAAACCCATTTGTCCCCTTTCACCCCTATCAAACACGCTCACGCTGCCTGCTGGAAGTCCAACCCCCTCCACAAAAACCCCTCCTTTACCCCCTCCCCCCCAAACCCCTTTCCCTAGGCCGACCCCACCCCCCCCCCCCGTTCCTTCCACTACAACTGATACCCTTTTAAAAAAAAGTCATTCTGTTTCGCTCCATTTCTCTACATGTCCGAACCACCTCAAAAACCTTCTCAGCCCTCGGCAACTTTTGGTAACCCCGCCCCTCCTCTAATTTCCAAACTATAATTTCTGCATTATTTCACACCAACATTCCCCTCAGACTGACTCTCCACTGCCTCCACCTTCTCCTCGCTGAAACATTATCCCCACGCTCACACCCATATAAGAGCGTTGGTAAAAACTATACTTCTACTTCCCCTCTTTGCCTCCAAGGAAAAGTTCTTTGTCTCCACAGTCCTAAGTGCACCACTCACTCTTTTTCCCTCATAATTCTATTTTTCACTCATCTTTCATAGACCACCGCTGACACTCCACCCCAAATATCTGAATACGTTCCCCCTCCATATCTCTCCCCCCAATCTGATATTCAATCTTTATACCAAAATTTTTTTGTTATCCTCATCCCTTACTCTTTCCTGTATTCCCCTTTAATTTTCTTTTTTTTTGCACACCCTACCAAAATTCATCCACCAATCTCTGCAACTTCTTTTCAGAATCCCCCAAGAGCACAGTGTCATCAGAAAAGAGCACTGTGAAAACTCCCCACTTTGGGGGATTCTTTATTTTAAAATCCACCCCTCTTCCCAAAGACCTGCTTTTACTTCTCTTAAAAAACCCCCATCTATAAATATATTAAAAACCCGGTGACACACACATCCTTGTCAAAGGGCCCTATTTTTACGGGGAAAAAATTTCCCTTTTTTCCCCCTACATACCTAACTTGACCTCACTATCCTGTAAAAACTTTTCACTGTTTTTCAGAAACCCTACCCCCTACACTTACACTTGCAACATCGCCACTTTGCCCCCTATCCCCCCGCCGCTTTCAAACCCATAAATCCCAAAAAGACCTCTTTAGCCTTATCAAATATGTTCACTTATATGTTTCATGTAAAACCGTCCAACCCCCCTCCTTTCCTAAACCCCCTTGTTCATCTCTTCCTTTTCTCCGTCTTACTTTTTAATTCTTTCAATTATAACTCCCCAACACTTTACCGGTACATAAACAGCTTACCCCCTTAATTTTTGCACTCTCTTTTTCCCCCTTTCCCTTTTTATAAAAAGGA